CATTTTGATATTTATATGAGATGTAAAAGTAAACAAAACATGACAAACAGTGCCAGCTCACTTGAACTGTGTCAGAAAGTTGAAAGATTTATATCACAAAAAAAATTTCTCTAAATCATAGCCCAATAAACTATGGAAATACCACATCTTCAAGATTTAACTCAATTGTCATCATCATTATGAAGCCTTTATCAAGCCAACTAAAAAATGTTTATTGTATGTTCTGTATACTAACTTTAATATAGCATTTATGTTTTACCTCAGGTTAAGCATCACTAATCCAGAAAAATCTGAAATTTGAAATGTTGCAATATCCAAAATGTTTTGAGTGCTGATCTGACATCACAAATCTAATGGTTTAGTGGACACAAATTGTTTGCCACACAAAATTAAGTATATTGTATGAAACTACCTTCAGACTATATGTACAAGGTGGATATGAAACATAAAATAATTTTGTGTTTCGATTTGGGCACCTTGTCCACGGCCATACCACCCTGAACATGCCCGATCTCATCTGATCTCAGAAGCTAAGCAGGGTTGGGCCTCGTTAGTACTTGGATGGAAGAGATTTGGGCACCATCCTCCGGATATCTCATGTATGTGCAGATGTTCCAAACTGGGGAAAAAAAAAATCAGGAATCTAAAACTTCTGGTCCCAAGCATTTTGTATAAGGCATACTCAAACTGCAGTCACAGTAGACAGATTATGGTAAAGTACAGAACATCCTGAAGTTCCAGTGGCTTAATTTTTCTGACTTACGACATGTGTCCATCACCGGTTTGTAGAAACAGCATTCTGCTCTAACTCGCTGCTCACGAGTTCTGAAACCCATGTCCACCTTGCTCACTGTGGCAATAGAGAGAGCTGGGGATTTGTGTGAGTTTTCTCTTTTGAGTTGATTGGGAAATGACATGTGATGTTTCCATCTGCAGCCCCCAGAGAACCAGTTCTGTGACCTCACCTAACCTTAAGAGGACATCAAGGTGATGGGGAAGTTAACACAATATTGGGCAAGGACCATTTTCTCTTCACCAGATATTTATCAAATCTTTACTCTGTATCACATAGTCTTCTAGGCCCTGAAAAAGGAAAGGAAAGGGGAAAGGGGTAGGATTCCTGTTTCCATAGAACATACATTCTATAATCCATATTTTATTTAATATTTATAGTTAATTTTACATATTCTTTAAGGGTAACTGTTGTGCATTATATAATTTTCATATGTCTTTTCTTTAAATCTTTTCTATTTTATTGTCACTTTTTATCTTTAGAAACTATCCCTTTCTTTTAATTAGTATGTGTTTGCCATACAAAATCAGTACATTTATGGTTGGTATGTGTACATATCACATCTGAATCCTCTTTACTTCCCCTTCTCCTCCCCTCCTTTCCCCTTTCCTACCTTCTTTCCCTTTCTAGATCTGCTTAGTCATCTCTAGATTTCTTCTTAGTTCGAACACATGCACCCCATTTACAGTATACATGAAGAATAGCCATTATCTTGAAGAAAAGCATCATCTTGAATACTTTCCCTAGGGTCAGTCTAGTTTATTCTCAGATAATTTTAATTATTAGAAAACACTTTCTTAAATTTATCCAAAGTCAAAACTTTCATCTCTGGAACTATACATAGTTCTTATAATTATTCTTTAAATATTTTCAGTAGTTATTAGATTATACCTAGTCCTCTCATCTCCAGTACCTTATTAGTTTCAGGCTGCCTGTCTGATCACTTTTCTTTTATTTATTTTTTGAGTTTTTGGAGACAGAGTCTTGCTATGTAGTTTAGGTTGGTCTTGAACTCACTATGTAGCCCAGGCTGATCTCAAACTCACAGCAATGAGAGCACAGGTGTGCCACACCAC